AAAGGACTGTTCTCCGAATTCGGCATCAACATACAGTTCGTGATCTTCACGCAAGTTCTCCGGATTCTCATCGTCTAATGCCGGAATGGAAACATCATGCCACTCATCGTGATCACGTCTAACCTTTGACTGATTCACACGTATCACTGCCTTACCAGTATTGGCTTGGACCATAGCTCCTTCTTGTCCAAGTACTGTGGCACGAACCCAACGTCCTTTATCCTTGAACTTTGATGAATCCTGAGTCCAAACAAAAACCTTCTCTCCTTGGAAATATGGACCGTCACTTGGCATAGTCCTTCTTGCAAGATCTGCTCGAAGGTCCTGAGCTTGTCGTGCTTCTTGATGAGCTCTCAAAGCTACACGTTGTAGTTCCAGATTTGTACGATCTTGTGCGGCTGCACTAGCTGACAATTGCTCAGGGCTTGCGGTCTCAAGGTCAAAAAGATCTGGTGGACGTCTTCCAGTTGCTATCTCTATTGGTGAATATCCACTGATAGTCAACTGACAATTTCTTGCCCACACTACTTTCTTGACCACTTCTCTGACCGTAACACCACGAAAACGTGGGTCATCCAGATCTACCTTCATAACATGCCACATACGTTTGAACAAACGTACAGCTGTCTCTGCTCGGTTCGGCCAAGGAGTTCTTGGCCCACAAGGACATTGTTGTATACCATGAAACCTGTAGTATTCAACAAAAGCATCGGTGAAAAAGGCTTCGTCTCCTACGATGGCCTTTGGAACACAGTTGTTCTCATCAGACCATTGCCTCAATGCTTGGATGGTGGTTTGATCTATGAGGTCTTTCTGTGCCGTAGCCCAGAGAAGATTTGTGGCACCATCAAGAACAAGTAAGATGATATACTTGTTCTTGTGAAGTTCAACCTCACAATGATCAGCAAAAACAACATCACCAAAACATGAAGCTCTAATACCGGAGACTCTGGCTCGTGGCGGAGGTGCCACTGAAGTGTTACAAACACGGCAGTTCCTGACAACTGATTCATACTTCTCTAAAACAGAGTCAGGAAGCTTCAACATAGAAACACGTCTACGAAACTGAGTAGGACTCATATGGTAGTGCTTCACATGAAGCTTATAAAGCTCTACCTTGTCCTCCAGTCTCTGTAACATCTTCCTATATGCCGGTGTCATTGCAACAACTTCACTACCAGGTAATGGGATTGAAATCCGCCTAGGCTCAAGAGCGCCATCACCTGGTTCAAGTGGTTCATGTTTATCACTTGATGGTCCTTTTGATGCTTTAGGAATTTCTACAAGTTCACCTTCTGGCCTCTCAGGTGGTTCTGAGGGAGCATACTCCTCAAGATCATCACCCTTTAAATCATTCTGAGGCTCAGATGGTTTTGACTTGTGTCCCTTCCAAAATGGATCAAAACCCTTGGAAGTATACCGAAACTTTGGCGGCACGGGCTTTTCCGCGGCACTGGATGGTGCACCTTCCTTCTCTGATGAGAAGCCTGGTTCCCTGTCCTTTGCAATGGGAACCTTCTCTGAGGAGGAGCGCACCACTGCATCGGGATCACCAATGCCACGGTGCTCAATGCCAGCCTTCCTGATCTTTAGATCTGGAATTTTTGCATCTGGCTTGAACTTAAAAATTGTTCTACCACGCCATTCATAGCCAATTTGTAGGTCCTTCCATTTTGCCTTGCGCCAATCATCTTGCTTCTTGATCTCTTCTCCTCCATCTTTCTTCTTGATGATTGTCAGTCGCAAGTCTTCCAGCAAGTCAGTGTCTACAGGACAGGACTTAGTTGCTGGAAAAAGAATCTTTCTATAATCCTTGTGGTGACGTATCAGTTCTCTTTTGTGAACATCTACTTCCCAGTAGTCAACCACAGGATATGCATGTTCAGCTACATCTTCATCACTATTGTGGTCAACAGAAATATGACCATATTCATAGTGAGTGAAGTGAGAGTAAAAACTCTTCTCTCGCCGAGTCTGCAAATTCACGTCAGACAGATACCATGCAATATCTTGGAAGTCCAAGACAAGATGAGTACTGGCTGCAACCTTCAACTCCAAATATTTGATACCAAGAGGCACCGATGTCAGATAAGCATGTTGAGGTGTCAGCCTTAGTTCAAAGCCTAAGTTCCTCATCTGTGGCAAGCTCATAAGCAAAGGGACTTCTCCTTCTTCAACTATGTCGAACTCTGTATGGTGGATCGTCCATGCACGATCATACATGTAAATCACCAGTTTCTGAGAGCAAGTAGCCTTCTGGGAATTGGCAAAGTAAAACTTGCTCTTGGTAGCCTCAAAAGAGTACCATAATCCACAATCTGGGTGATTGTCGACATAGTTGCAAAAATGGTCGACTGCTCGCCTTGATCCCATAGCTCTAGTGCATCCAATGTCCAGGATTGCAATAGTCGGCGGGAAGCGATTCTCAGTCAAAAATGAAATGGCCTGCATCTCCTTCACTTCTTCCTCAGCGCTCATAAGCGCAAAGCCATCAGGAGCCTTTGTGAGCATCTCCTTTGACAAAGAGTACCTCACAGGGGCACCCATGCCGTTGAAGATCGTCTCACCATTGTTGACCGCGCAGTCAGCTTCATCTTGGCATGAGGTCATCATGCCTGACAGCAAGTTCACCTCACTGTCATGGACTTCAGCTGCTGCCGTCACACAATGTGCAAAGAAACCTTGTTGACCTCCTGATGCTTGTGAAGTTCTTGAAGGTGCAGGTAAAGAGCGTGACTGTTGTTGATTTGCATAGTTTGCATCTTGTTTGCCATCTCCTTTATCTTTTCCTTTTCCTTTCTTGCCTTTTCTCTTGCCTTTTCCTTTTCCTTTGTGGGAAAACCATGCTTCTTCAAGCTGTTGCCAAAAGTCATTGGCATCATCATATTCTCCTTGAAGATAGTCATTCATATCTTCGGCAAGGATGGCATCATATGCTACTTGGGTTGACTCCCAAGTGTCCTCATAAGGATTCTCTTCAAAGTATTCATCTGGAAAAGTTGTCTGTTGCTCATCAGCAAAATGGCCTTTACCTCGTCTCTTTCCTTTTCCTTTTCCACGAGGTCTGAAGAATCTGCGGCCTGATCTTCCTTTGCCTTTTCCTTTTCTTCTACCTTTTCCTTTGCCTTTTCTGGCTCTTCTTCCTTGGAATCTCCTTTGGAACCATGAGAAGTTTTGATCATCATATACCCAAAAGACATCGTCCAGGGCATCTAAAAATCCTTCTGTTCCATCTTCTTCATCTTCGGCCCAATAGCCAAATGTACCATCGAGTTCTCCTTCGTCTAGTACGAGAAATGATCTTCTACCTCCAGCACCTTTTGGCTGCATCAAAGGATTGTCTACTGAAGTCTTTGTCGTGCAGAACATCTCGATGAACACTGTCCTCAACTCTGTTGTAGTATATTGCTGCAGGACCCTGCCACGATGAGTCATCAAAGAAGTCAAAGTGTTTCGCTGGTCCTGAGACAAATCTGCAAGTGACAGCATGAGTAAGGCAATGAGATTTTCTCCTAGAGGAAATTCATTCTGATGAAAAGTCCTCATATTGCCATTGATGGTCTGCATGATTTCCTGAATCCTTTCTGCCGTTGGTGCTACTCCAGTCAACGCTGCATCTGCCTGCATCTGAGCTAGGACTTGTGGATGTGCTTGAGTGACTGGTTCTAACATGTCCATCCAACTGCTCATAAGCCTTTGGAGTAAAATCTGGAATCTTGTCATCCATTTCATCATGTCAGCTGATCCTCGATTGAAGCGCACAAATTGCATAAATCTATACAGGAATACATTGGTTGATCCTTTCACGAAATATGGTCGTAGTACTCGTTTGAAATATTCTACGCCGGCTCCTGGTGGATCATTTGCCTTCAATGCATCTCTGTCTAAAACACGCTTGTATACAGCTGCTTCTCCTTCTAATCTGTTTCTCAATGCTGGTCCTCTCTTCTCATCTTCCAGCTCGGTGATATCACACCAATCGTCTATGGCATCCTCATAGGAAAACCATGAAGTCTTTCCATCATAAGATGGGGGCACCTTTGTAGTGACCTGTGTTGTCATTGCTATTGCTGCTGGTTCTCTTCTCAAATGCCTATTCACGTAGGCTGCTGGCTCATAAGCCACATCCGCATCAGGCTCTTCCCAGTCGTCTATCCAATCCATGGCTGTTTGCCCACAAGCAATTCTATGCCTAGGAAAGGAGCTCACCTGGGTCTTCCAGGATCACTGCTCCGCTACCACTGAAAGAGTGACTAGGGCGTACACGGTAGAGGTGCAGACCGCTAGTGTCTTTTATGCGCAGAGTCTTATCCTATATCTCTTTGAGCCTTGAAGCAGTCAAGCATGGACACACTATATCAGCTGTTGGAGTGGAACCCTGTACAGGTAGGCTCTACTTTTCAGGGGGGGGGCGGGGGGGGGGGGGGTCTTCGACCTGAAAAATCAGGGGTTAGGATTTGCACCCGGTCGAAAGAAACCTTGCTATTGCAAGAGTAACTCCAGCTAGCTTCGCTAGCTTTCGTGATATATTGATCCATAAGCGGAGTGCAAGCCACCTGGTTTGGTCTTCGGATTTTGATTCTCCTCCGAAATCGGGGTCGTCTTCCCATCCACGTAAACATGCTGATTGGGAGTCTAACAAGCGAATGACATCACCCCGCACCGCGCCCCCCCAAAAAAAGAACATGCGACTGTTGGAGGAGACTTCGACATTGCCTGAGATTAGCGGTCACTCAGTCTTGATCGTTCCGTTTCGTTTATGGATGTTTTGTGGCTCCCAGGTAGTGCGGGATGTCTTCCATTAGGCAATTCTGCAGGGAAGCGTTCATGGGTCTGGTCTGGACTCGTAGGATGTTTCTTCCTCGGAGTCTTTTCCTTTTGAGCCACTTGGAAGTAGGCTTGTGACAGGTCCACCCTCTGCTCATGCTTCCAAAAGCAGGGTCCCTCCTCTGGGCCCTCTGGCCGGGGGGGGTGCACCGCAAAGCTGTGCTCGACTGGTCCTTGAACTTCTCCAGGGAAGGCTTCAAGGCAAAAATATGCGAATGCCAGCCAGGGCCTCCGTCTCCGCACGAGCTGCGCAAGTTGAAATGTAGCACGAACTCTGGGAGCCTATGCTGATGGTGATGGATGGTGGGATTCCATCATCCACAACCATCCATGTGATCATTGTATTTCATCTTTTGCTTTTTACGTTTTAAGATTTCATTATGTTTTTATCTATAGCTCTGTCATCGTCATTTCCTGTTCAACCCACTTGAAAATGATGTAGCCCAGCGTCCCCCCAATTACCTATTCCAGTCCCTCGGATAGTCTGGGACCCTGGGACCTCGCATCCAATGATCAACTCAGGTTGAGCCGTGGAAATTTGGGGCCCTCTGTCACCCATACCCGTTTTCATCTGGGGGGGTTCTCAACCATCGTCTTCCACATGAACACTGCGCATATCTGCGCATGCTGGGCCAGATTCGCCGCGACTTTCGCTCCTTTTCAGGGTTCCGGGTCCCTGGCGGCGGCGACGGGGCTTGGAAAATGAGGCCACTGCGTGGGAGTGGAGCCCCAAACAAACAAAGCCCATCGCAAGGAACAGTTCAAAAGGGCCGAAATCTGGGCCGAAATACGATGCATGACGACAACAGCTCTCCCAAATCAGGCAAGAAAAAGCCCTTTAGGGTGCCTACCAATCATTCATGCTACTCTTGAGACACGGTGCCTTTTGAGACACGGCCCCAGAGGCAACTCATGTTTCTGCGCATCGGGCAGCATTCCGAGTTGCAGGTCGTTCTACTTCCCCCCCGGAAGACGTCCGGGGCAAACATGGTCCGGAACTCCCGCATGGTCATTCTCGTCTCACGATCCTGGCTATGCAGGAAGTCTACCACGTGGCATCTCACGTCTGGAGGCGCATGCTGCGCAAAGTCCATGACCGTTCGGCCACGCGAGGTCGTCTGCTCCGCCTTCGCGCCCTCTTTCACCAAGAAACTCAGCATCCGACGTTTGCCCAGCCGAGCGGCGAGATGAATGGGATAGACCTCCTCTTCCTTGATGAGGATTGAATCATTCACGCCCTTGAACTTGTGGCGCTCAAGGAAGCTCCTCACCTGAGCTTGCTGCCGCTCTCTCCTCCATCCAGAACTGCGCGTGTCCGCTCTTGTTGCGCTCATTCCGCCAGATCGATCCCGTCGTGTCATCGGGGTGTTGGGAGCGGTGCTGAGATCACCAAGGTCCACTTCCACACTCGAAGCTGACACGCAATCATCAGAGAACAAAAGAGGAGGAGGCACAGTGGCCAAGATTTGCAGGCTGCCAATGTTCATGATGAGACTGAGCCAAAACACCTTGAGCCAGTCCGGCGTGCATGGGAGAAAAAACCATGACAGCGCCCTTATGCCCCCTTTAAAGTTCGAGTGGCACCCTTCATCTGAAGGTTTGCCCCCCAAACTTGGAGGAACACCTAATCCGACTGGCTTGTACGGAATGACAATAGGGTCTTGATTGAAGGAAGAGGCACCAAAAAACTGCTACAGTATGCCTCTCTCTGGTCATTCAGTGAGTTGTAGTTGGAGGGTCTGTCTTATAGTTTCTCTGATTCAGGGACTCAAGCTCCACCTGCAGGTCCAGGTGGCACCGTGTCCGCTTCAAACCAAGCTCCCACACCCCCACCCTGCCAGCATGTTGGCCTTCCACTAACGAATCGGGTCCCGAGGGGCCTGATGGGTCCCACGATATTCTACTAGGGTCCAGTGGATGATGATGCTTAGGTTGTAGCATACCAGTGATGCCGGTATTCTCTTGGCGGTCACTATACCTACCATCGAAGATGGATGAACATGGCAGTTGTACGAGTCACAGCCTCAAGGCCAAAAGCCCGTGTTCGCCGGGACATGGGTCCGGTGGTTGGGCAGGATCCAACTCCCAGCAACAGTGGATGATGATCGTTAGTGAAGTATAGTGAAGTCCTTTCTCGAACAATAGTGATCGGCTGCAGTTCTATATCTGTTGACTGTTCATGAATCAAACCTCACATAGACACAGAGCGGGCTGTAGAACTGGTCTGGTGGGCGGGGCGTCCTTCCGCTTTATTCAACCACCATCTACCTTCGTTTGATCCTCAAAGCAACCAAAACGTCAAAACACCGACGGATGGGCCTGAGGGGTTCGGGTCACTGAGGAAGCTCACGTTCGCTTCCTTCAATTCCTGGCACGCGAACGGGAGGGCTCATTCGAGCAGGGTTGGATGTGACTGATGGGGATCTAAATCTTATCTTGAAGGTATGCGGTCAGCTGATCCAAATCTAGCACATGGACCTCACGGGATTCACACGCGTTCTTGCTAGTCTCCATGCTCTGCAGCACATTTCAAGCAGGTATATACATGCATGAAGACCCCTTTACATCCCTGTACCGCCTTCCACGCATGGGCACTTCCAGGTCTCCCATAGGGTCTTTCCCAACCATTCTGGTCCGGTCGAACTCCTCCATGGCAGCCGCCGGCGAGCGGCCGGCGAAGCAAACATCCAAATCCACATGCAGCACCAAATCCTCAGATTTCTTTCGCCTGCCTGAACGCGACGAGACAAATACATAAGAATCACTGACTCTTGGATGGAGGAAGCATTAAGAAAGCTTGCCAAATAGAAGACTTGGCGGATCCTGGACACTTGTAAAAAGTCCATCACACTATAGGCACTGGAAGTCGCAAGTGAGTCCTGCAACAAAAAACGATGCAGTTTCACGTTCGATGAAACCCATCTTTCGACCTTAAGCCCGTTTCGACAAGACGGTGCCGGCTGGGTGCCCTTGGGCAAATGTCCACTGGACGGCTTAAACCGCATCAAGACCCGCCAGGTGGCTGAAAAAAACGAAACATCTGCCATGGGTCATAACTTAAAGAGTACTTAAGGTTACAAGGTTACCTGAAGCCCTTGCGTTTTTCTCTTATTCCGAGTCTGGGCACATAGGCCAAGGCCTTCCAAGCAAACAACTTGAAGACCGTGGCCCAGCCATCGCGGCGTCCATCACACTGCTTGCAACATTTGCTCTTGATGAAGTCAACCTGCAAAACATAGAAACAGGTTGACTTCCTTGCTTGTCACAAGCAATCTCATGATGACTACAAGCATCTTAGCATTAATTGATCAGTTGTCCAAAAGCTCCCATGTTCCTTCAAACAAAGGTCGTGAATCATGAGCATGATGAGCAGTTGAGTTTATGTGTGAGACCTTGCATGGCGCACCGACACATGGACAGTAATCCGATCTCCGTCCTCTTTGGAGTAGTCCTCAATGATGAATCCAAATCCTGATCGCTCAGGGATGCATTCAGCGGCACGGCGGACGGCGCAGGGCGCAGTGCCCCGAACCGCTGGGGCTTTTGCATTCACTGGCACCTCTGAAACGCTGGGGGTCAACAGCTGTCTAGGAACGACGTCCATGGAAGGAACCCACACAAAAAAAAAAAAGACAAGAAAGAATCAAGGATCATCAAGGGCATCCAGGCATCCACAAGACTGGCAAGGGCATCCAAGAACATCAATCTCTCATTTCCCAAGGTCTGCGACATCCACGACACCAACATCCCGTGGCATGATTGAGAACGGTTTTTCCTTCTATGACGTCATGACGCTTCAACTCCAAACCCCTGGCCCACCCCAGGAACATCAGCCTCCAAATTTTAGATCATGCATGGTCTTAAGGTATTTCTTCTCGGATGAGTGTGGTTCTGGGTGCTGCCACAGACCCATCTGGGTCCATCCGACCACACCAATCCATGCAGGATGCGCATCAGCAGACTCAACTCGGACTCCTCACTCGGAATCGCAAGAAACGGCGATCCGGATTCCAGTCGGACGAGAAAACGCGGCTCTTATAGTGCGAACATGAATAAACATGGGACCAAAACTGTTCCAAGCTCCGCGTTCACAGCACGTTCACTCAAATCAAAGTCGAGTGAGGAGAGGACGATCTACTTGAACAATCAAAAAAAAACGCCACTAGTAGCTTCTTATTACTAGTAGTAAAGCACTTAGCTACCAAATGCTACCGGTAGCTTCTTGCTACCAGTAGCGATTGCACCTTGTGACTAGAATATGTGGCAAATGTATTGCAACATATTGCAACCACCCGTTCCGCTCCAAGACTCCATCAAGCCACCACCATAAATCAAATGGAAGGGCAGTTGCCTTCCGAGGCGATCGGCAGAGCACTTCAAACGCATGGCATCCAGCACAAAGTTTTGCTCCTTGTAGTGGTCCTGACCATGCCACGAAGCAATCGGGTGAAGACCCGATTAAGGGCCAATTCATGGCTCGAGATTTGGTTCTCCACTTTGCTGTTGCTGAGGTCCAAGAAAAAGACGACCCAGCGCGCTGGCCTCGTCCAAAAATGAAAAGCAAGTTACTACCAACATGTTCGGATTTGCGGCGTGCAGCTACGCTACGGGTTGTGCTGTGCTCAGTTTGGGTAAGGCTCTAGGTGCCCTCCACTTGTTTTGGTGAAGCTTTTGCTGATGCAAAGGCACGGGGTCGCCGAAGAGATATAGCCACCACCTACACATAAACCCATGATGGAGGGGACTTTTGTTTATGGTGGGCAAGACAGCAAAACATGGTGACAACATGACACGCTATGTAGTACCTTGCTTGAAAACCAAACACGGATTGTTGGTTGAGCAAAGTCCATCGAACTTCCGCTCAGGTCGGTCGCCCGAGCGCATGCCCCTGGCTCTGGGACTCCCATGGTCCTTACCCCAAGAGTGACCCCCACAGGTATCACCAGTCGCTCCTGTGTGTTCACGAGCGTCGCGAACCTCAGGTGAAGTTGCAGAACAAATCGTGCGAACCCTGGCCATGAAACCCAAGACCAATGAGCCGCAGGACTTGCAAAGTTTACTCACCGGCTGTAGACTTGCAATTGCACTCGGTGAGCAAATGCATCTGGGTTACAAGTATGGTATATGTATCGTACCATTGTGGCAAAAAGAATATAAAATTGTATAACACCTAGTTAACCTAAGCCCTGAAAATACTACTATGCTGTTTAGATAAGTCATGGTAAAGTGAACTACGACTTTTATGGGCTAACCACTTAGCTGTTGAAAAAAAAACAGCTATTGATGTTATATAGCTTTAAAATTTGGATTTCTATGTGCCGCACTGAGCAAACATTGTAGATCACAAAAACAATTATGTAACTTGCAACATGTATGCGCACTTGTATGCACATATGCTGGCATGTTTAAGGTTCCAGCGTCAGTTTTTTAGCAAACTCTCTTTGGCTTTCAAACCAGCGGCTTTTGGCAAAAAACTATTTGTTGATGTTTGTTGCATCATCCTACACATGTTTCTTGCAGTCAAGCCTGTGGGCTACCAGTTGCACGAGGAAGCCAAGCCTGATTGGCAAAATGTTGCACGATTCTCATGGCTATACATGTCAACTTGACAACTTTTTTCTTGCTCGCAATTGCCAACTCAATTTGGCATGCTTTGGGCTAGCTGGCCATATGCTGAAAACAGCCACTACATACCACTACCACATCACCCAGAATTTTCACAACAAACCTACCCCTCAATTTGGAGATATATATTCGGGCTTCACTTACCACAGCATCCGCAGACTCAACCTGTTGGGCCTCCCCCACGCCTCCCTCCGCCCGAGCTGCAAGGCCAAGCGCGCTGGTCCGCCGCCCGAGCCGCCCGCGCTCGGTGCATCGAAGTGAGTGGGAACCTCGCTGGGCCCGACGTCGCGCCGTCCGACGCACGACGTGCCGGGCTTCAGTTCTGGCACCCGGAGAAGGAGCCTCGGACGTGCCTCTGACTCCACTGGAGATTTGGAAAATACAAAGGAATTCCGGAAGTCCTGTTAACACATCGGCATGTGCAACTCTGCTCCCTGGGCACCGCAGGAGCTGCAGTCAAGCCACCAGCCGTGGCTGTACAACAAAGCGCGCGGGCATAGGCCTCTCGGGACTCAAGAGTGACCCCCACTGCCGGTGCAAGTGACCATCTAAGACGTTGTTCCAACTTCCAGATCCCTACAAGCGGAGTCAGCAGGCGATAGGAACGACATGGGATAGGAACGACATATAATATAGCCAATGAATTGAGAAGTCTTTGCTTTGAAGTGATTCCTTTAACTGCCCTATTGCCTGCCCCTGATTCTCCCATTCCAACTGTTGGCCCATGTAACAAAACTTTGCGGTGAATGTTGATGAACATGTAGGTCTCTCTCCATCCGTTGGACATCCCAACTCGGTCCGCTTAGCTCTAGGCACTCAGGTGGCCAGGAGCCAAACGCAGTCTGAAGGATCAAGTGTCGATGCTCTCCCTTGCCACGTCAGCCGGATAGTTAAGCCAACGCGGAAAACTGGCGGCCCAAAAACACCTCGATCTAACCACGCCTCCAAACGAGGGCTCGATGGAGATAAGCCGAGGTCATCTTATTGTTGGCCTGGCAACATTGTGCACAGCCAAGGCTGCCAAGGACAGGACTGCAGGGTGAAGGACCAAAAGAAATCATGAACAATAGTGGCAAAGCAAACAACAACAACAACAACAACAACAACAACAACAACAACAACAACAACAGCACCAGCACCAGCACCAGCACCAGCTTCCCTTGATCACTGTTCTCAAGGCTTTTGTTTCCATCTGCGGGATGTGTCTGGGCTGGTTTAGCTCGTGACCAGTCAAACACCTGGTCGAACAAGTGTCCAGAGCCATCCGTCCGTTTCAAATTTGCGGAGACTCTGCGAAACAAAAACAGCACCCTCACGACATGTCTTGCAGTGCAGCATGCCCTTGGAAGTGCTGTCTAATTCAGAGAGAATCGGGAACAAGAAATGTCAAAATGTCTCAGGCACGACGTTTCAATCAGAACGTTCCTTAAAAAAAAATCCCTGTGACCACTGAGGCATGGGATTAAAAAAAAAATCCCTGTGACCACTGTGGCTAGGGTTCAAGCAGCCTCGCAGCCAGTGGATATTTCCTGTGACCACTGTGGCATGGGATAAAAAAGAAATTCCCTGTGACCACTGTGGCTGGGGTTCAAGCAGCCTCGCAGCCAGTGGAAATTCCCTGTGACCACTGCGGCTGGGGTTCAAACAACCTCGCAGCCAGTGCGCAGTGGGTCAGGGCAGACTCAGGGAAGAAAAAACTAAACTGAATTCATCACTGCACACAGACTCCACCGAATCGTGCCCCCTGGTTTGGGGTGGCTTGACTCACGCCATACTGGATTGGGTTCGATCAGGCTCCGCTGAGCCAATCGCGCATGCCAAAGAGCGACCATTCCCCACGATGACGACGGACAATTTTTTTGAGGATTGAATGATTCTTTTCGATGATCTGCATGGCATAGTTCAACTCGCCCAAGTATGTCCTAGGACTTGTGGATCCAAAACACCGGGGCCCCAGACCTTTCTTGGGTTCCACTTGGACACCTCAGGAGATGTTGACCAAAACCACCCTGGAAACACGAAACACGTATTGGTGCGTAAGAGGATCTCATGTGTGAGCCCGTTAGGGGCCGCAGCAGCATCCTGAGAGATGTACTCGGTGCGGGAGTGGAAGGAGTCTCGAAAGGGCAGCCGGTCAAAGAGCAGTTGCGCGGGCAACTTGAAGCACATTTCCATGGGAACCTCCTCTTCCTCAGGAAGCTCCTCAGGCTGCAGGCTAGGCTTGACATCAGTGAGAGAGGAACCCACTGGGCCGCCATGCTCACCCTTTGAAGCCCCGTTCTGACAGCTCATTACAAAAAAGGCCGCCTGGCAGCTTCGGCAAAACCTTGAGCCAAAAAAGCTAGTGAGTGTAATCTGGTGGAATCGGAAGGTTTCCTTCTGGGTCATTTCAGCCAAGGTCCAAGGTAAGGGGGGTCTCATGAGAAAATCATTGCAAGATATTATAAATACACATATAGATATGTATGTATGTATGTCTGTCTATGTATGTCTATGTATGTCTATGTACGTCTATGTATGTATGTATGTATGTATGTATGTATGTATGTATGTATGT